CTGTTTCTCACCCCACCATGCCAGGGGGCAGCTGGGAGTGCACAAAGAATTGGAAGGGTACACAGTCAGGGAGGCTGACCCCAAATGATCAAATGGACATTCCATACTGTTTGGTGTTGTGCTGAGCATTTATAATTGGGGGAAGAAGGAGGAAGGGCAGATGTCGGGAGTGATGGTGTTTGTCTTCCTAAGTTACTATTACATGTGATGAAGTCCTGCATTCCTGGGGATGGTGGTGGAGTCTCCCTCACTAGAGATATTCAAGAACTCTCTGGACGTGATCCTGTGCAATGTGCTCTAGAATGACACTGTTAGAGCATGGAGGTTGGACCAGATGACCCACTGTCCATGATTCTTGACTTCAAAGGGTTGCTGTTTGAGTCCACAGCTATGTATAGCAGTACATGAATGTAACTGGCAGCATTTAAGAGGAAAGTTTCCTGGAAAGTACCACTGCATGGGTCTCTGTGAAGACGTTATTAGCATCCACAGACACTAAGATACTAGTTCAACAGAAGAAAAAGAGGAAAAAAAAAATCTCTTGCAAGCAGCAGGGACAAGATTATCAAATATATAGATGGTTCAATAATATCAGCATCCACAGAGCATGAGTAACAAGCTGCAAAAATGACACAAAAGAGAGATGTCATTTGAGGACAAGATGTCATCTTATCTCACCTGGTTGTGAGAGAGGGGAATTATCTGCATCAAAAGCTGTATTGTCCACCATAAACCTCTGGAAAACACCTGAAGAAGAGAGTGGCACAAAAATAATTTAAAATGTCTTGTATGGGAGGAATAAAAAGATGAAAAGAGCCAGCAAAGTTGAAAATCTATGCATATATCAATGATTGCAGACTGTAGTTAAAACATTTTTTGACATGGAAAGATAATAAATTGATACAAATAAAAGGAAAGATAATTTTAAAAGTTAGCTTTGATTTTTCCTAAAACATTCCTCTCATTATTCTCAGAGAAGCTGCAAGTAATAGAAGATGAGTGGATACAATTCAGGTTGAGTTTATGCCCACAAAAAAAGAGTGGAGGAATTACATGGTTGGGTGACTAAACAATGTCAATATGGGAACTGTAATAAGAAACTGAGTAAAGAGTGGGGGTTTTGTGGGCTTTTTGTTTGTTTTTTGTTTGTTGGTTTTGGTTTTTGTTGGTTTTGTTTGTTTTTGTTTTGTTTTAATTAACAGTATGTCATTCCATTGGTCTTATGAAGAAAGTTCATGCTTTGGAAAGATGAGAAACAAAGCAGGTAAGGAATTTGACACTATTTTCAAAGGAGAGGAAGATCTTTTACTGCTGTTCATTATCCAGTCAGGCTGTCCCAGCAATGAAACATGCTTCCCACCTATGATTCCTGAGTCACCATAGGAATTGTGTTTAGACTTTTAGCTAGAGCTTTGTCATGCAACCATCAAGGCTACTTTGGTGTGATGGTTTGATGGTATGGCTCATGGAAGGCAGTGAAACAGACTCTGGAGATGTAAATGTCACAATGTCATCATGAGGTCCAGCTGCGGGGCCCCTGGGGACTTGTTCAGCAAGGAAATAAAAGTATTCTAGGACTGTCAAAGACATCTTCTATTTCTGAGCCACTCTTGGAGCATTCCTTGCCCTCAGCTCACTGAGCTATACTGTTCCCAGGCATTACATTGTGGTATGTGGCTCTAGGTGACTGCACTGGAGTTAGAATAATGGATAAAATAGATACACTCACTAAAACCCAGTGTGTTTATTTTTGCTTTTGGACATACCCAAAATCATCAAACAGATATGTAGAAGAGGAATATTTTCCACTACCTGCGAGGGGAAAAATTCTTCAAGAGATGGCTAGTGACAAATATTTTTCCATGACTGATATATCAGCAGGATTCTGGCATTGCCCATAGGAAAAAACCCCACGTCTGTGCACATTCAACACACCCATAGGGAGACACTGTTTTTTTGCAGACTGCCATCTCAGTTATGTTTGGCACATATGTTTTTCATTGGAAAATAGAAAATGTTGGTGGTGTACAGCATACTAAACAGTACACTTTATACTGGGAGGAGAACGAGAATGACTAGAAGCTTGTGCAGCTATGGAAAAAGGTGAAGATTTTGAGAGAAGATAAAAAAGTAAAAGCCAAATCTGTGTAATGAAAACAGCAAAGATGGAGAAAAGCTGATATGGCAAGACCTGCAGGTAGATCACAGTAAGTATGAATAATTTATCAACACATCTGATCCTACAAACAAGGAGGAAATACAAACACTCTTTGAAGAATGATGCAGAAAAAAGGGTGCCAAAATAAAATCCAAATAAAGCAGCAAGCCAAGGGTCCTACAGTGACTAAACAGACACAGAGGTATTAAAAGTTTAGAAGACAGAATGGTACTTACTTAAGTAATGCATTATTTATTCACCTTCTACATAGATATTAACACGTCTCTCTGTGCTCTATTCTATGTTCTAGTACAACGGTATGGTCAAGTGTAGGCTCAAATGCTATGATTGGTAATAAAGTAAATTTCAATACATTCAGTTAAAGAGGTCACTTTAGATGTGATCGGGGTGAAAAAACTCCCATTATTCAAGGTCCATTGCTGGTTGAAACTACTGTCACCTCAGTGTTGCCAGTGTCTACAAAATACTGTAAAACAGCTCTCTAAGGCTGTAGCTGCAGATGTATTGACCAAGACCTCAGTGAGTTTTGGACTTACAGACATATTTTCAAATTTTTTTTAACAAAAGAATGCAGTGGAGCAAGTCCAGTGCTAAATTTCACAGACAAAATCAAATAAACCTGTCCTGCCTCAGATGAAAAGGGGATTTAAAACAATGGAGCTAGAGCTCAGGATGAAATCCCACAAAGTAAAAAAAGCTATAAGCAGTGCCAAGTTGAGAAAACATATCTCTATTATCTGTTAAGAACTATTTATGTTGTTTTCCATGAAATATTTTCATGATGTTTCTGTAAAGGCCTGTCATATGTATAAGGAATGCAATTACTACAATGGTCCCCCAGTCAAACATAAAGGAATATGTTAAGGGACAGGAAAAACCTGTCTGGATGACCAAATAATTTTCAGCTTATTGTGTTACTAACATGAAATAAATAAATAAATTAAAAAAAAAATTAAAAAAAAAAGGAAAAAAAAGTCAAATTATAACAAATTAACATATCTGATGTTAAAGTCACAGAGGATTTGGAGAATTAGAGATTATGGCAAATTCAAAAACCTGGTTTAACTGGGCTCTCAGGCACTGCATGATTTCATGAGGAGGAAGTTGTCTGCCTCTCTCCTAGGTTGTAAGTGGCTAGGATTGACTATCTGTGATATATGGGGTTGTCCTATGGGGTGACATATGCTCTGTTGGCATGGTAGACATTTTCTCAAAAAAATAAAGAAAACACTATCTCCTAACTTACGTGAGGGGTTCTCAGCCTGACAATAACCACTGTGCAATAACATAAAGGTACACCAAACCATGGTACTACAATAACATATGTACTTGCTGCCTGCTGACAACAGTGATGTCATTCCTCCTGTTGAAATCACAGCTTAGAGCACCTCGTGCTGACTGAACTGTGGACTCCATGACTGCTTTCAAGCTCCCACACCTGAGATCACACACCCCAACTACACCTGCTCTCCATATCAGGGTGAGAGCTACACACACATCAGCTTCCCCATGTTCTGGTTTCTGTAGGTGAAAAACCAGGGTGTGAAGGCCTGATGGAAAACATAATTAGAAAGCTGTGAGCCTGAGACAGGGCACTAAGTGGAAATTTTCAGTGATCAGTTCCCTTTCATTCTCAGATCCAGATAAAAGGACAACATAGAGAAAATGAAAAATAAAAACTGCAGACTGATTCATAGACCATGAGAAAGATGGGAGAGAAGCAAGATAGGAAGAGAGAAAAGCAAAAAACCTAAGTCCATCTAAGAAATTAGGCAAAACCACTGTTCTTTTTATCGTAGTCCAAACAATACTGGGTTCAGATCAGGAAGAAACTAGCAACACTGAATACTGTCGGTGAGATACTGACATTTGACACAATCCTATTACAATTGCCCAGAGACTGCCAACAGCTTGCGCTGTATTTATTCCTAATTATTCATAATATTAATTCCAAATGTCTTTGAAGTTCTACATCACAAAGAGATATGATAAAAAGCATAGAATTAAACAAAAATATATTATACTAGAGAAAATGCATGGTGGCTTTCTGAAAGAATCCGCTCTTCTTTCTATTCCTTCCTAGTTTCTGTGAGACTGTGTCCTCCTAGCTGAATCTATAAAGGATGTATAAAATAACTTTGTGTCATGCTGAATTTTAAGAAAAGTATTTTTTGTTGTGTCCAGCTTGTGAAGGATAAACCAAAGAGAACAAAAGATTTACACACTCAGTTTGAATAGCTTTTGCGATGCTAAGTCTTAACGTTTTAAAAATGCGTTATTTTCCTCCCTCTGTTCTTCCTTGTCCTCATGATATAGTGTTTTTTTTTCTTTGGCATTTAAGTTTCTGGTTTTTTGTTTTCAAATGTAGCTTTTACAGCCTTGGTACCATCTTGGGAGGAAGAACAATTATTCAGGAACAAAGACCTACTCTTTTTCTGACTGCAGCATGGTTCCTGCCATGTAAGAGAACTTGGCCAATTCAGCATTCCCTGATTTTCTGACGGTATCTCCCTTGGTTACAGTTCAGATTATTCCTCTTGGCCAGAGGAACAAAAGAAAACACCTCCTAGCCACTAATTCTGATGAAGACTTCTGTCTCTCAATACCAAAATGCAGGTTTCTATCCATATAAGTGGTTACGTGCAGACAGATTTCAAGTACATAATGGAGCTCAGGTATAAAACATATGTACTTATATAAATATATTCAAACTGAATTAAAATTCGGTTTAGATCTGTCCTGAAAACATCTTCTTCAGGGAACAAATCAACGAAAGAAACAACAAGAGATGTCTCAAAAGAACATCAAGTGTAAATACTGATAATTTTACTTGTTTATTTAAATGCATAGATGTTACAAAATAGATCAAAATGATGTACACTTCTTTATAATTTCATAGCATTAGAAGTTGAAACAGGGATACAAATTTATAATGTATATAGCATCATATGACAGTATGAAAGAAATGATACATTGATAAGGTCACTGAAACACGTGTTAGACAACAAGCTTTCTTCTCCAAAAAAATCCAGATATAACCCCACCCACGAAATTATCAAAAAATCCAAACAAGAAAAGGGAAAATACATAGTGAGAGGGGGAAAAGAGCATGTCATTCTATAAACTCTGAACATTTCTTTTTTTCACATGGGTTCAGATAAAAAAGCATAGAAATATAATAATTTGCCAATCCTCAGAAGCTTCTGCTTCTTAAATGAAACTTGCCTTTAAGCACCATTTCAATTACGTAAGAGCACCCTACGTGAAACAAAGCTGTTTAACTCCTCAGAGCTATTAGATTCCAATATTACCATTCACTCTTAAGGAACAATTTTATTACTTCAAACATCACATCTAAGATACTTCCTGACTTAATGATGATCTATTGAAGCTGTAGTGAGTTAGCAGCATGATGAGCAGCCCGGTGATTTGAATGACAATTGCTGTTGTGAGCCAAACATGCAACCTGAGAGATATTTCCCCTCTTTCCTGCTGGCCAAAATAACTCTGATCATAATTTATATGAATTTGTCAGTATGAGGGATTTTAAAGAATTTACAATCTGATTACCAAATTATAATATGCCAAAAACACTTTCCACTCTGAATTTTGTCTTTTGGCAGAAGACAAGGTGATAATACTCAGTTGCAACCATTTCAATCTGGATTTCTCACACATCACACTCGGAGGGGCTCTGCAGAGTGTAGATAACGATCAAAAGTCTCTATCTGTTCCACTGGCTTGTGCCAATTTAAAAATGTATTGCTTTGTAATATGAGCAAAAAAATCTTCTCTAACAGAAAATAACTCTATCCTGAGGGAAACTCAGTAAATGAAGGCTAAGCAGCAAGGAAGTATTAAAATTACCAAGAGTAATCAGTTTTGTTTATCATTTCCTGAATCAACCAGATAGGCTGTTGCCCATCTGTTGCATTAATCAGATGAGTCACTGCTTTTTTTTCCCTGATTTTTCAATTATTTCCTATTGAAAGAAAGCAGTTTAAGAAGGTTGTTGTTATATCAGGCTACTGTTGTCAGAAGTTCAACACTCTTCTTATGAATTTAAACAAGGTTTGTGCACTTTGAGACCATCAAACCAATGTATGAGTTGAGAACCAGAGCATACAAGTTTTCTATTTTGCATAGTTTTAAAATTCACCATAAAAATGCTGTGTGCTTGGATTCCAAGATCATTCCATTCTAGAAAAGGAAACCAAGAGTTTTGTCTTGAAAACTTAGCAAAAATGGGGAGATCACAACAGTAATTTGGACCTTTAAAATTTTATTAGGGACTGTTAGAATTTAGCATCTGAGTAATGAGGCTTTCCACACCCTGTTTTTTAAGAACTATATCTGATTTAATGCTTCTAAAAATTCTTCTGACATCTGAATACCTCTGTTTTACCTCATAGTCATAAAACTTTTTACAATGGGAAACCAACAGCAAATACAACTGTGATTGAGTTCCATACTTACAAAATACATAAAACTAAGAAATGGAAGAATTTTGCACTGCACCTCATTTCTCAAAGGAAACAGACATACTAAGTCATGTGTCTTTAAAATCAAGGCTGAAAAATTAAAATTTGCATTTGTTTTTAAAATATCCTGAAACCTCTTGGATTCCAATGTAATCAAGCTGACATAGAAGAATTCTCAGCCACAAGAGGGCATCCATGCTTTCAGCCTGGTCCTCGGGAAGATTATATTAACAGATCTATCCACATATCTATCCATCTATCTATAGACATAGACATGGATACAGATACAGATATATTTCTTTCTGTTAGATCACAGCTGAGGTACACAGCACTTCTGCCCTGGGAAGTTTCCTCTTTCAGAGCCTCATGGTATTTCCCAATGTTGATAGTGGATGGCATGTGAAGTCTAATTTTGCTGGTCATAAAGGTCTCAAAAGTTACATTACACCTCCTATGGTTTTCGCTGAGACCTGATCCAACTCATCTAAAATTCAGAGGGAAACAAACTGATCTCAGAGAACAGATCCCAAGGATTAGTGTCCAAGGTCAAGCCCAGATTTTCTGAAGTCATTTATTTTCCACAGAGAGGATCTGGAATCACTAAAACTTGTTCAGCATCAATAGGTCATGACTGTCAGAGGTCTTATTCTCTTAATAATTTGTTCCACAGGCACTTGCCTGTTGTGATGTGGGAAGACTGTTGTTTGTTTTGGTTTTGAACTCGAATACATTTACCTCTCTGAGGCACATAAAACTCTTATTAGAGACTGAAACAACCACAAAAAGGAACTTTGAAAGCAAATCTGGCCTAGTGGTAAATGATATACTTAGCTGAAAAAGATCTCACAAACACTGGAGTGCATATGGTAATATTGGAAGAGAACCCCATTTTCCACAAAAAAAAAATATCTGTAACTTCAGCACCAGAACATAGAGGTTAGCACCAAAAGGTATCAATTGCTACTCATCATCTTAGATGTTTAAATGAGGCAGAAAGTCACAAGCAGATATCATAAACAGCTGCACTCAGTAATTAATCATATCAATTACTCCATTTTTTACTCTCATGTCTCTCATAGTATTTTGACCAAAAATATTTTTTGCCTTATTTTAGTTTGTATATACTTTTATAATTTTATATTCAGAACAGAAGTCTGAGCTAATTTCTCTGTCTTTAAAGGCACACCCCTCTGCTGAGAAGAAATTAGTACTTCAGGGCCATCAGAATAACAACTGGGGTAGTTTGCCTTAGCATGGCCTTGAACTCATCAAGAGTTTTCCTCGGCATGCATTAGGGCTGCCAAAGACAACTGAAGGTGAAATTTCATGTGTTAATCGAATATCTAATGAGCTGTAATCCTCTCTGTTCAATGAAAAATATTAAGTTAATGCTTGAGTGCTTGTGACTGGTTTTATCAGGAGCTGCTCGTATGAAATAGCTTATATCCATATCATTTTTTGCTGCTGTCAATTACAGTGTGATTTACAATAGTTATTCCCTAGCACCATTATGGGATGTGAAAAACCTGCATACCTGTTTGTTAAAAGCAAAGTTTTCTATATCCACAGAAAACAAAATATTACACAAAATCAAGGTATTTGTAGCAACTCAAAAAGTAACAGATACGATAACATATATACCCGTGATAATAATTTCAGCTGAATTACAGAATTATAAATTAATTTACAATGTCTAGTCCTGTTTGGAAAGTGTACCATACAACATACAAGTTGCAAGTTTCAAAGTGCATAGTCACTTATTGTTAGACCTACTGTTGTAGGCTCCACGGCTTAACCTGAACTTTTTCTTATGTTCTGCTTCCTGTTTTGTGGGTTTTTTAAAAAAAGAATAAAAATACTGAAAATGGCTAGAGGCACTGTTTTAACTGTGCTATCTTACCTCTATAGAAGATTCCTTATGCAGAACAAAAATGCATTTGTCACACGCATTTTGTCAAAAATTGTGCTGGCTGAGGGCTAGTGACCCACCAAGTAGTTTTGTTTCACTGAATTGTTTCAGTGTGTACATCGATGATACAAAGAGGTTGTTTTTCACTCCCAAAACAGGACTGGATTTTACTCAGCCAAAGTACTTGGCTGACTGAGCACTGTCCAAGTCCAAACCCCTTTGAAAACACAGGGAAAAATGTTTATAGTGTAACTGTTACAATAAATATTAATAGAATATTAGATGTGCTATTCTTTTACAACATGGACACATTTAAAGGAAATATACCTGTCAAGTTATTGTCCTGTCAAATGCAGAAGGGTCACTAACCAGAAATGTCTGAAGAGCCATAGATCAGCATCTGATGTTCTCTGAGGGATCAGATTATGGACAGATAGAGAGGGGCTGCTATGTTTTATACACTATAGAGCCCGTTCCCCCCATCTCAGATATCTTGCTCGAGAAAAAGAATAACATGAAGAATTCAAACTCTGATCTTTCTTTCATATCACCAATATGTTATTTCCTACTCTGGTGACAGACTGTTTCAAATACCCTCAAAAGACTGAATTAGTGACTTAGAGATACATACATGTGCAGCACTAGTGAAATTATCCTCTGTTGTTCCACTTGCTCTACTCAGTATTGCTTTCCAAAGTTCATGAATTTCAGAGGTCTAAATGTAGCAGTGCAAGCAGTAAACACGCTACATGCTACTAAACGTATATTTAAAGTGGAGTACATTCTGCCCTCTAACACAAACCCAAAACTCGTGGCTATTTCAATGACATAGTAGTTGTGGCTGACATTCAACTTCTTCCTTTCTATAACCTTTTTTTCTAGTAAAGTAGCTGTATAATATTCTAGCTTAATGTGTAGGCCCTCTTTATAAATGTTCTAGTAAGCACCAATAATGTGTTCAGGTTTTGGCAGGAAAGTTTTTGGTAGATTCGGTTTCTAATAATTCACACAGATATTTTCAGGAAACAGCACAATATATTTTAAAGGACACTGCCAATTGCTTTAGAAATTTGTTTGGTAAGAAATTTATATGAACTTTTGAAATTTCCTGATGACTTTTATTTACAAATCTTCTTACCTACTTTTAGGTCTGATCTTTCCTGATTCTTGACTGTGTTTCAGTCAGGGGATAACACATATACTGGCAAACTGGTAGTGTAAAAACCAGTATGGATGTCATGTATTGATGCATGTTGCTTTGTAGCAATATATTTCTTTGCTTTTCTGTGCAAGAATAAGTATACTCCTGCAAAGCACCATTATAAGCATTATGACTGTGTTCAGAAATACAAGAAGGTAGATTCAAGCTGAGCTGTTACACCAGTATACTTAAAATGAAGTAGCTTTCCATCTAGATAAGATTTTAGGCTTGTGAGTTAACAGCCACTGCATCTTGGCCAGTGTGGTTCCCCATTCTCCCTAATATTCCTGTCTGCACACAGACATCGTTGGCGATAGCAGCAGCCGTGTGCTGAACTCTTGAAACACCATAAACCAATTGACGCTGTGCATGAGGTAGGTAATAACCTGCAGTTTCTCTTGCACATATGTATTTCTCTGCTCAGTGTCCCGTTGACGTTGCAGGTGGAAGCACAGGTGTAAATGGGAGGAATCACTGGGAGTGTGAGGACCATTTGTTGCTTTGCATGTCACACTCCAATTTTAAAGCACAGTATTAAACAATGGCCCTTCTCTTTCTGGAGCTATTAGTTTTAAAAGTGAAGTAATATTCTATATTTTGATGTGTTCAGGAAGCTACACTTGCTAAGGTGAAGATTTTCTCTCCTTGAACAAAATGCTAATCTAAAAGGGACAATGTGAGTCTTAAATCCCAAAGTGTTAAAACCAAATTATACTATACTTTGAAAGCTAATTATACAAAAGCATACAAAAAGAAAACATCAGAGTATTATTACAATATCTCTCTATATAAAATATGTGCAAAATTCAATATACAAGCTTCTTGTTACTCATCTGTGGTTTTCTTCAAAATAATGTAAACCTTAACTTATTTAAACCAGTACAAGTAGTTTGATGTTACTCCTGGGAAACAAAGATTGTTGGTACAAGAACCTCCATAGCTTGGAGGACAAGCTGAACATGGGACTCCTACTTTATAAGGTGCTTCTCCAATCCAATTCCCCCTGAAAAAAAAAAAAAAAAAAAAAAAAGAAAAAGAATGTTTAGTAATTTCAGAGTGGAAGAAAAAAAAGTCATTAAACATACTTGTTTTGAGTGACTAAAGTTCACATCTTCATTGATATCCTATAAATGGTCTGTTACTAAAAATACGATATTAATTTATTTCTGTAGTTTACTGACAAGTAAACCAAAAAACAGCAGGAGAATGACCATGTCACCCCAGGCCAGTGACATCCATGCCATGTCCTTTAGTCTCTGCAGTGAGGTCCCATTCTTCTTGCTTTTGCTACAGCCAAGCGATTTTTGACTCTCTGATCCTGGGGCAAGAGTATTTTTTTACCAGAGGGTTATATTTACAAAAAATTAGCAAAATAAGCATTGGTGCAAGGTTTTCCTTGAGCACCATTTTGTCTAGCAGTTATCTTAAAAGCTTGTACTTGGAGGATGGAAAAACAAACTAGTTAAATCTTACTCTTAGGTTGCACTATCCTAGGTCCACACTGCGAAGCTCTGATGTTGAATTCATGGTTCAAGAAAAGGGAAAATAAAAACTGTTTGCACCAGTAATGTATTAAAAAGGACTGAATTTGGGCGTTTTCAGGGGTGTCATAGATGCTAAGGAGAGGAGAAGGAGGACTCCTGTCTGGTGAACAGAGCTGTGTATTACACCCTAAAGGGAAAGGGGTAAAAAGTCTGGAGAGTGATCATATGAAAAGAGGTAACTCTGACACATCCACAAACATCTGAAAAACACATCCAGACTTTAAGGAGTTTATATAAACCACAAGCTTTTAGAGATTCATGTAACACTCATGATGTAGGCAGAAAGTTAAAATTAGATTTTTATTTCAATGTTATGTCTCACAGTGCAGAGAACTTTCCTTTAGTTTGCATGTGACATGGAATAGCAGTGAGTAATGCAATTATTTATGAAATATTTTGTCAGTCCCCACCTCCCAGCCAATAACACTGGATCAAAAGCCCTGGTCTGGGCTGTGCCTTGGAAGAAAGTAGGAATCCCAAATAATTTGCTCATTCCTACTTCTCTTCCAAATGGGTACAGCAGATTAAGTGCTCAGGAAATATATTTATCTTGATAACAGATAAGGAAATCCAGAAAGAATTTGCTGAAAACTGTTTTCTGCTTCATTTTCTGTGCAACACATAGCTGATTTGTGTCAGACTGTTAGATAACCTGGGGCAGGGCCTTTCTAAACTTTGCAATTATCCTCCTTAACTTTATTTTTTCCCCCTCATTTCAGAAGCACAAATATTTTTCAGTGTTACAGCATGGCGTCAGTGAAAATTACTAGAGTTCTAAATCCTAAATATTTGCCCAATTCCAATCTTAATAACTCAGGCTGGGGCTGTAATATTCACCTCCTTATTCTGTAGAGGAGGTTCTGATGTGCTGGTAAAGAGACCTATGTGTGGGTGCCCAAGGACTCTAAGCCCCATGTCCTTAACTCGACCTAATTAAATCTTAGAAATACGAACTTAATCCCAACAAGACCACTTGATAAAATTTTTGTGACTTTGCAAGAAGTAGATGTGAAAATCATTATTCCACTACCTATGGATGAAAGGTCTATTCGCAATCTCACCCTGAGAAAAAAACCTGTAACTCCAGGCTTTGGTCTGTTGCTTGAGAAGCAGTGGGATTTTTAGACTCATAAAATACAAAATGTCACTAACTCATTGGTAAGAACAGATACACAAACAATGCATCAGTTTTCAATAATGCCTAATGTATAAAACCATTTTCTTCCTATATATGAAAATGAGAGGAGTATTCTACCAAGTTTGCAATTTTTAATCTTTTTTTTTTTTTTTTTTCAAATGGAGATATATAAAAAATATTTGGGTTTTTCTTGTAAACTTTGATTTCACCTTGCCATATTGTGGAACTAGAAGTCAGATATAGTTTTTGCTGCTTAATCTTTGCTCCCTCGCACTCATTTCTTGCCATCCTTTTCTAGTAAATATTAAAGAAAAAAGAACAGAGAAATCTCCTTGATTTCTAAAGCTGTGTTTTTTCCCCAAGTAATTTTTCTTACTAAATCCTATCTTGCAAAATTTTTAAAAATTCTTTTACTCATATAACAGCTAGAATAATGACATACTCTTTCATACTCTTTACCACAAATGGACCTGTGCCACTGAGAGTTTATGGAAAACATGCTCAACTAATTATACTTAGATTCCTATACAGAACTATGTCTTTGCCTAATATACAGTCAGAGAAACCAGTCACTTAACACTGTCCATGCTACTTTTGAAACAGTGGTCCAAACCAGACCGCAAATCAAATATCTCTCCGAGCTATACTGACTCATTCTGCACCCAGAGTAAGATTGAGATGATGTCTAGGAAATGCTGGGAGAAAATTTATTTCTTCATTTCAACCAATCACAGACCTCTGCAAGCTACTGGATATAGAGCCACCTTTGTGTGTCCGTGACCTGTATTTTAACAGACCCTAATATGAAAGGCAAGATGAGATAGATTTGTAGACATGGGCCTTAGGTTAATGGATGTTTTGTGGAACCAGTGTTACGGATGCCATTATGCAGCATGGTCATAAGCATAGGTATCCTGTGGACAACAGCAAGTATCATCACTGTTCATGAATCATAGAATAGTTTGGGTTGGAAGCAACTTTAAAGATCATCTAGTTCCAATCCCACTGCCATGGGCAGAGAACCTTTCACTAAACCAGGTTGCTCAGAGCCCCATCTTGAACACCTCCAGCAATGGGGAGCCTGCAACCTCTCTGGGCAACCTGTTCCAGTGCCTCATCACCCTTATAGTAAAGAATTTCTTCCTAATGTCTAACCTAAACCTGTCTTCCTTCAGCTTAAGGGCATTTCCTCTTGTCCTATCACTACATGCCCTAGTGATAAGTCTCTCTTTAGACTTGTTGCAAGCACCCTTCAGGTACTGGAAGACTAATACAAGGTCTCCCTGGAGCCTTCTCTTCTCCAGGCTGAACAGCCCCAATTCTCTCAGCCTGTCTTCATAAGAGAGGTGTTCCAGTCCTGTGATTAACTTAGTGGTTTTCCTCTGGACCTGCTCTAACAGATCCACATCTTTATTGTGCTGAGGACCCCAGAGCTGGATGCAGCACTCCAGGTGGAGAACAGAGTAGAGGGCAGAATCACCTCCCTTGACCTGCTGGTCAATCCTCTTTTGATGCAGCCTATGATATGGTTGGCTTTCTGGGCTGCAAGTGTGCCTTGATGAGTCATATTGAGCTTTTCATCCACAAACACCCACAAGTCCTTATCCTCAGGGGTGCTCTCAATCCATTCTCTACTCAGCTTGTATTTGTGCCTGGGATTGCCTCAAGCCAGGTGCATCTGGCCTTGCTGAACTTCATGAGGTTTGCATAGGGCCCACATCTTGGTAAATCAAGAGCCTGATCTACAGAGGAATTGCTTCCCTGTGGAAGTCTAGTTCACCATGTGTATATATAAAAGAGTGAAGAAATAGGGAATTCAAAGTAAAGTGGAGTCAGGCAAAGAAGGAAGACAAAGAAAAAGTCTTTATAATAACATAAACAGCAACAACAGAAAACAAGTTTTTGGTTTTGTTTCGTACACATCAAGTTGGTTCCTTTTCTTTCTTGTACACATACATTTCTGTATGTTGAGATGAAAAGTTTGAATAAAGGAACAGCCCGAATCAAAGTTTCAAACAGAGGTCATGCTGCAGAAAAAGGATTAAGCAGTCCTATGAGAGGAATAAAACATGCACAAAGTATAAAAATAAACAAAAATAAAAGAAAGAAACTCACTTTGGGGCATAGTTGCATACCAAGTAAACAGCTCGTCGCCAAACAGATCCCCAGACGTTCATATTGTGGCACGTGTGGATTGCGCAGCCTATACGATTGGAAGTGGCCCAAACCATCTGAATAAATATTTATTATTGGTGAAGTCCAAATTGAAAAGAAATATACATATATATATATATTATACACACACATTTATTTGAGAGAGAGGGGTATAAATACATTGTAGAAAAGTTCAGCTTTGGACAGTATATTTTGAATAGAGGAAAGTAATTTATACAACCTGTGTGTAATGGGTGCACATGGGTCCATAACATCGCATGGGGCACCTGGGATTGCAATCTTGAGGATAAGGGAAAGCATAATCCTTCACCTCATCGTACCATGGCTTTACCAGCTGAAGAATAGATCGATACCTGTGTTTGTTTGAAATACAGAAAGAGTAACACTAGGGGCAAGTATTAAGCAATAATATTCTTAAGCCAAATGAACATAGATGGATCTACACTATAGAATAGCAGATGACACTTGTATCAGTACAAAATCTGGATCTTAAAAGTTGTTCAAAGGCTGACAAAATAATTGTTCTGTAGGGTATCCTTTTACCTTCCAGTTCTTACAGACAGGTTCTGGCCCAAGAATCTCAGTAGGTAGGAAGGTCCATGGTCCCAAATACATGTAGCAGCCCAAGCTTCTGCAGATTTGGCAAGAGTTTCATCCCAGACCTGACAAAATAAAATATCCTTAGCAGTATAACAGGAAAAAACAAATACCAATCATAGTATAGAACACAAGAAACAAATATCTTAACTCACAAATATACTATTGTAACATATCAGATCTGGAAAGATGTGAGGCAGCATGTACAGGATCCAGCAGGATTTGCCCTATGGCTGGACAGAATTCCTGCCCACATCATTAGAGGAAGCCAAGTATTCAGATCTCTCCCTTTTTTTTCTGGAAAAGCCCTTCACCTAACGGACATTCTCCTACCATATTTCCTCCTGTGTTGATGAGATCCATGTGTGGAAAGGATTGAAATGTTGGCTGAGACTCAGACAGAAAGTGAAGGAGAGGAGCATGGGGAAGAACAATTCAGCATAGGTATTACATAGCCCACAAAAAAACCACCAAAAATTTGAAATAGGACGTTAGGAGTATCTATAGCCAGAGCGAATGTGTGTGGCATATTTGAGGTCACAAGGTCAAAAAAAGGGATTTCACAAAAGCAAAGACTATGGTGCAGTATGAATTTCATGACTTTATTCTGCACAGAAGCTGACATTGTTCACTGCCTGGACTAAAAAGATAACAGCTCTGTAAGAAGAGACAATTTCAATTCTTAAGTTCTGCAACGTTTGGAACACGACAAATGAACTTAAACACTATCTCCTTTATATGCCTTGCCTGCTCAATTACATGCCTGATTTGCAATTGCTGCTTTCTCTGCAGCAAAACAAGCTTGCCTCAGCAGTAAGGGAGATACCTACAATACAACCTACTGGAGCTCCGGATAAAGAATATCTCACTGTAACATTATAAGTGCACACAAATCCTAGTATATCTTAGTGCTTAAGGGATACCCAAGTAGGCTGCAGACTCTGGAATTAGATGTATATTTTGAATACCCTGAGTGGAGTGTTTAGGTGCAGGATAGTTGTAGTGACTTGCATGTATAAAGGCAGGAACAGAATGTGGTAAAATTGCCCATGCAGCTCTCTAAAGACAAACACAAAAACTCATAAGTCTCAAGTGGCTATGAAATAGAGGTATGAGGTATGAAATAAGAGGTAAAGTCAGAAATAAAGTTATCAAAGCATAAGGTGGCCCACATCACAAATATTTTCTGAATTACACGCTAATAATGATTTCTATCACTGAATTCAGTTTTAATTTCACTAACCTGCAGAGTGAAAAGACTGACCATTGACTAGGACAGCAATTCATGGCCTGACTCTGGTAGTTTGTAAAATTTCTCTTAGTGAGAAGGACAAAATTTAGTAAATTTTATGAAATTGCTAGACCGTTGAACCAAGCTTTTGTGAATATGGAGTGGGTGAGGTACTTCCTAGATTGAAGGTGAAGAAGTGCAACAGAGACCAATAAGAACCCTTAACATAAATCATCCTCCATTCAAGAGGAAACACTTTAGGGACAGAAAGACAGGTGATGCTTAACACAGAGAAGATTTATTTTACACCTGTTCAGAAAAGCTCCCAGAACAAAGTCAAAGCATGCCAGTATTGAGGACAAAAGAGAGACGAATCATGCTATGAAGGAATGGTTTTCAAGCCAAAGAACACTTAGACTTTAGCTCTGAAAAATTGATGGAGTTTCTTGTAGGAGTTACAGATAAGTGTGTAACTTGGGAAGATAAGGCTAAGCTGGAGCATGAGGGTGCAAGAGAGGGGACATAGGACTGATATGGCACCATCCAAAACTCAGGATATGCTCCAGGACCCAAGGCAAAGAAAACGGTGCATAGACTTTCTTCTGCTTTGAATCTCTGCCATTTAGTTAACTAGCTGCATGTGGCCAGAGTACAAAAAAAACTTTATAATCCCTGTGGTACAGCAGTGGTCCCAAAAAGAGGGCTTAAAGAGCAGGTACAAGCATAAAAGTCTGCCTGGGGAGTGGGCTGAGAGGCTGGGGCCACAGTCGGTGTTTGGAGCCTGCCCAGGCCCAGGGGAGCAGAGCAGCACATGGATCCAGCATGTGGGTCCAAACACAGCTGCCTGATGTGCATCCATAAGGGGCTTCTCCGCCAGGACTGTGACACCCCATAAACACCCTCCTTTGCTGGGATTAATCATGCTTCTGGCACGAGTGCTCCTGCCAGGAGGCTGAACATGAGGTTTGCGTGCTTGCTCCCAAGTGACCTGGCTGCACTCCCACAATAATCTAAATGTGTACTTTATTTGCACAAACAGTGCCGAGATCCTGATTTCCACACAGCATATTTTTGTGTACTAAATTGCCTCGCAAAATAGCATAATAGGTATTTGAAAGAAATGTGAAGACTGGATTAGGTTTTCACTATTAGAACCCTCTCAAATGAGACACAGCCCCTGCCTTGGACATTGAGAGTATTTCTAGGTCACTTTCACTTCTTCTCAGCTTCATTTTCTGGTTATCAGGAATCATCTGAAGCATTTGATTGGTAAAGTTTCAGGGTGTTCTTTCAAACTCAGTTAAAATGTCATGGGCTTGTCATGTACAGTACACTCTGCTTTCCATTGCCTATTCACTCTTGACCACTGCCTGGACAGAAGAAATTTTTGGCAAACATTAAAAAAAAATAGAAACAAAGGGAAAGACAATAACTACTAGCTAAGAAATAAGGGGCAGGTGAGCATATGCAGCAATTTTAAATTTCCTCTATTTCTTCATTAGTAGGCTGATGAAAAGAGTTTGTACAGAATCCCCTACTGTTACGTAAATCATTTGTATTTCAAGGGAGAAGTTGAAGTGGTTCACCTTCCTTATTTTATTATACTTTATATTCCTAGAAGAAAAGGTGTACTAGCTCTAGATTAGCAATAGAAGAAGAGAAGGCATTAGGAAGACTCTATAGAGTCTTCCAGTACCTGAAGTGAGCCTGCAAGAAAGACGGAGAGAGACTTTTTGCACTGGGATGAAGTGATAGGACAAGGGTGAATGGCTTTAAGCTGAAAGTCTATATGTTTAGATTAGATATTAGGAAGAAATTATTTACTGTGAGGATGATGAGACACTGAAACAGGTTGCCCAGAGAAGCTGTTGATGCCCCATTCCTGGAAGTGTTCAAGGCCAGGTTGGATGGGACTCTGACTAACATGGTCTAGCGAAAGATGTCCCTGACATGGCAGACAGGTTGGAACTAGATGATCTTTAAGGTCCTGTATAACCAAAACCATCCTATGATTCTGTAAAAAGTCAAACAACTAATATAGGCTGAAGTAGAAAAACTTATCTCATAATGGCTAAAAATCTTCTAAATTGTCAAGAGAATGTACCATTAGTTCAGCCCTTTCAAAAGAAGTTTAATCTTGAGTCCACACTTGTAGTAATTTCTATCTCAGTTCAGTCCCCTGTTTTGGGCATGCAAGAGAACAGGGCAAAGACATTTAGATTTTTGAACCCACGAGGTTTCATTGTTGTACATAGATAAATAGCACATAAAGAAATACAAAAATACTCTAAAAAGAGGAACTGAAGTAATTTGAAAGCATAGGGACAGTTTCTGTATGAGGAGAAATTAAAAAGCTCAAGGTAATTAGCAAAGAGTTTAAAAAAACCCCAAAGTGATAAAATTATAAACTCTGAAATTATGGACAATCCAGTGTTCCTATTAAACACATCAGAGAAAGCTGCTTGACATGAACACAAATTTGTAAAAGGGAAAAAGGAGAAAGACTTCCATATTTAGTGGGTTAAGATCTGAGAAGGTGACACATCCTCAAATGCTGATCATGCAAACTCCCACTGCCAAATTATGCTTATTCTCTCCCTGGAGATAGCAAATCTTCATTTGCTAGGTTGTAAATAGCTGGATATGAAATCACCTTCCTTCCATCCAGTATAAAGTTCCACTCAAAGCTCCATATCACTGATTTGGTCCAGCATGGAAACCCTCCCACTCCTCAACTGGACCTAACTGAGCTGCAATAGAGTTAAAGTATGTCACCACACTTCCACTGGCAACTTGAACATCCTTTGGCCAATTTATTTCTCTTTCTTGAGACAAAGACTAATTTCCTAGAAAGCTGTCTGACTGTGCTCTCTGCACTGCTCCCCGCAAAACAACACTTTCAAACTACATGTCACTTGAAAATTCTCAAGAGGACTGAACACAAGAAACAGGACAGCGCTTCTACACAGGGTATTTCAAAACCAGAGACCACTTTGTGAGGCAGCTCTGGGGTGTTATCTGCACTCACACAGCACATGTTTCTTGAGAGTTAGGAGTAAAATCTTAGTATTAATAAAGTCAGCAGGAATTTTGTCAGTGAGCCAGAATTTCATCCAAGTGTTTGTTTCTCTCTGTAAACTAATAGTAAAATATCTAATCCATAGAATGTGTAATAAGCAATAGAATGTACAACAAAATCTCCTTCATGTTCTTTGTTGGAACAAAAGGTGCTGGTCACAACTATGCTCTTAGGTATTAAAATAGTGGTGGAGCTGAATGAAAAATCTGATGATGAAAAAGAAACCACTACAATAGTACAAAGAAGTGTCCACAAGATTTGTTGAAAAATTCCCTTCCTACATGGATAGCTATATTTTAATTTGAGGAATTGTGTACAGAACCATTTCTAACTCTAATTTGAATGGTTCTGCTCATTTTAATTACAGGCAGAATTGTACTCCAAATATCAATCATTTAAATGGAGTAGCTTTCTCTTGACACTCTGCTCAACACGTATCTTAGGAGACAAACCTAATCACTTGTTCTTATTGTAAACTTTCTAAAGGATTGATGTATTATTGAAAACATACTGCTACTCTGGATACATTTACCCTATGGTAATCTTACTTGTAAAGAAAAAAGTTTCAAATTTCTAGCTTTAAATGCACTACTGCAACATCTGTTAGCAGAGCCTGAACAAGTGACTAGAAGTGTTCCATGTAATTTGTTTTGGTGAACTTGTTCAACATCTTGTATTTATAGATAAAGTAGTGAGGTCACCTTGTTGCTTTCAGCCTTACCTCCTATTTCTGCAAGAGAAAAGAAAGCTATTCC